TTCCCTGTTCCAGCGTTCTTCCATCTACATCTCTACATCAGCTTTTGTGCAGATTGCTCAAGCACCTCATTCCCAAGGGAGAGCCAACTTTACTAAATCAACTACTGATCTGTAAGGTTGTGGTGAAATTATAGTTCTCTTAAATTTTATTATGATACCAGAATGATCTCTCAAATCCTTTATTCCCCTAGGACAGTTTAGTAATTACACAGACAATCATTTTAACCTGTGGTTCTATTGAAACAGTTTCCAGTTACCTCATTCATTTTCTTCCGCTTTACCTTTCTCCCTCTGCTCTCCATCTCCACCCTCCTCGTTTCATTCTGTTAAGTGGCTCAATTTCAGTGCTTTTCATGTCTTTTTCTGTATTATATTATTTTTTTCTAAGCAAATACTCACCCCCCTTGGACAGTTGGATATGTATCGATAGACTGGGGGATGGAGTGGGGTGGAGGAGAAAGAAAATGTCCGATGTTTCTGTAGCGTTGAGACTCGGCAAGAGGTCACACTGCCACCAGGGAGTCAGCCTTAGAAAGGGAGAGCTTATTTGTTTATCCTGCATCTTTCATAGAAAGAAACAATAGCCGCTCTCTTGGTTTGGGGCTCTTGGCGCCGCCCAGTGGAGACAAGCGCCTTTGCACCTCATTCAGGTCAGTTGGCATTATCTTGTGAACCCTTAGAACATTCAAATAAAATGACAGGAAGAAACACCAGTTCCAAGTTCCTCATAATCTATAGCTGCAACTCTTCAAAGTTCTGTTTGTTTTTTAAAAACCTGACGCTCCAGTTTAAACATTACCCCAAATCTCAGTTATAAATGCGAGCCTCTGAGAGAGTGTACTGAGGAATGAAACATTAAAATACACGAGCGTTTGGAACTTTCTCTGAGGTGGGGAGGGAGCATCGTTAGTGACCAGGACTGGTGTCTTTCAAAGCCAGAGAGGAAAGGTTGTTCTCTATTAGCTACAGTTGACAAATAACTGCTTTTTATACAAAGTATTAGAAAATATTCCAAAAATTAAATCATTTTCTTTCTTCTTTTGTCTTCTTTTAAAGGAAATGAAGGAATGAAAGTGGAAGATCATTTTCAAATCTATGCCAGTTTAGGAATTATATTTGTTCGTATTTTAAATCCAGTGAGGGGAAATCTCAGATTAAATCCAGTTAATGCATTTCTTTTCCTGTTTCAATTACATTGAAAATGTAATTCGTCTGCACTGTTTTATTTTTTATTTTTTAAAATGAAAAGTTAAATCATGTGCTCTGCTAGAAAGGACATGATTTCTTGGGTGTATATACAAGGTGATGCAAAAGTAAGTTTACAATTGTTCGTATGGAAAAGAGTACAATAATAAATAATAATACCAGAATAAACTTTGTTTCATGTACTCATGACTGTATACCTACTTTTGCTCTAAGAAAGCAAAAGAGGAATGTTTCTAGAGAGAAAAAAAAGAACTGTGAAAAGTTAAGAATCAAAACTCAACCCTGGAAGAATTTCTTTTTCCATAAAGTTTTCAGGCTACTCTTTGGGATCTTCAGGCCACTAGTAGCATTTCCTCTCTGGTAGGGACCCTAAGATGAGAGCCTTTATAAAGTGAAGGTTTAGTTTCCCTCACAATTGTTCCTCTGGAAAGCTGACCTAATATCCCACCCAAAGAAAACTTCTAGGATCTTAACCTTTTCTTAAGAAAATAGGGTCTGAGCCATTCACAAGGTGGGCTTCTGTTTTGTTTGCTTTGGAGTTTCCATAAAATGCACCCTCCTCCCCTAACACTTTCATCTTCCTCTCTCACTTTATTTTTAGATTTCATTTTTTTTTCCAGGGTCATATCTCTGCCTCTCCCGCTAAGGTACATTATTCCAAGCAAAAAATCCTGTGGAACAGCCCAACACAACTGTATGCTCAGCCTTTGGAGCTCCTGAGTCATTTCAAACATCGGAACAAAACAAAAACAGGCTTAAATGAATTATTTATCAAGGTCAAGAATAACTGATTTGTGCAGTGCCATCAGTTCTGGATCTTAAATTTGTTTTTCCTCCTCCCTACTCCCCACCCAGAATAGCCTGGGAGGAAGGTGTAGGCTGCAGTCTCCTTTGCAAAGTTAGTGGGTGATGTCTGAATGAGAAGAGCCCTAACTGATTGGTTATTTGAAGGGAAGAATGTGTATTGTTGGCCTGTAGTTCCGACAGGACAGGCCCTGCACCTTTCCCACAGAAGCCGAGTGTGCCCCTAAGCCCGCTCCAGGCGTTATCCCCAGCCTCCGTGGTTCCTGGACAAGAGGGACTCTTCCCCAGCCGGCCAGCCAACCGCAGCTCGCCCGCATCCCTGCCATGGCTCACCAACCCTGACTCCTCAGCCAGAGTCCCCTGGCCTTCGGAGAACAAAAACAAGAAGGGCCCGGAATGCACATCTCCTCGCCTTAGCCTCTCTCCCCGCTGCGCTCCTTATAGACAGACCCTGAAAAAGACGCATAAAGAAGATAAGAAACAGGTCAACACACCCTTGAAGCAGCGTGGGCCTTTTCTGGGTCAAACACACGTAATTCTCTGGGAAAACGCAGGGAGGATGAGTCTCCCAGTTCCCCTTCCTGATCAGGGCTCACACGGATCCACGTCCACAGAAAGGCGGCCCTCTGGCCCCAGGAGGTCATTTGCCTCCCCATCCCCATCCCTGGTCCCCAGTGGAAGGAAGGAAGGAAGGGAGGGAGGGAGAGAAGGAGGGAGGGAGGGGGAGAGAGAGATAGAGAGAGAGAGAGAGAGAGAGAGAGAGAGAGAGAGAGAGAAGAAAGAAAGAAAGAAAGAAAGAAAGAAAGAAAGAAAGAAAGAAAGAAAGAAAGAAAGAAAGAAAGAAAGAAAGAAAGAGAAAGCTGTTTTCCAGGAAATGACCTTTGGGGCCACAAAGAACCCCGGATTTGGGCCCAGCCCTTGAAGACTTTAAAGGCCATTTCATAGCATCATTCTGCACCTAGTCACGGAAGAAATGCCAGCCACTCAGATTCATAGGGTTCTTAAAATGGTAATTTGGAGTAAAATGTAACTCAAAGAACTTTGAATCATTCATTAGCACCTTATAATTACTCTGCTAATTAGGTTGACACGGCACTTAATCAGGAGTAATACGCCGTCTTGTCACTGGCACTTCCCATTACCCTGACATTCAACAAGAGACAGGTTGGAGACGTCCTAGAGAAAATAATGCAAGTTGATTCCCTCTGACGAGGCGTCACAGTCAAGCCGGCTCAGGTCCCCTAGTGGATCCACAGTGACTCTTTCCTTTCCAAACGGGGGGAGGAGAAAGAAGAGGGAAGGGAGGGAGAGAGAGAGAGAGAAGAGAGGAGAGAGAGAGAGAGAGAGAGAGAGAGAGAGAGAGAGAGAGAGAGAGAGAGATATATGAGATATTGGCTGAAACTGGCTGCAGACCTACCACCCAAGTTTCTGAACCCCATGCCCGCCAGACACCGCAGTGACCCCCATGCCCTCGCCTGCACAGAGCGCCTGGGATTGTACTCCCGGCTCCGGAGAAGGTGTCTGGCCGGGCGGTTCTTCCATCACGGGCCTGGCTGGTGACTAGACTGGGCCCCTCCCCAACTCCTCCGGAGAGCGCCGCGGGGAAGCGGCCCCGTCTCCACGCCCGGCTGCAGAGCGGGGCCAGAGCCCGGGCGGCGGGGCTGCGGGGTGCGGGCTGTGGGGTGCGGGGGGCAGAGGGAGAAATCAGAGCTCGGAGCTCCCCGCCCACCCCGGCTCTGGCTGCTGGTCTGCACCCTTCCCCGCGGGCTCCTCCAGGGACCCCCTTCCTTGCTCAGTGGCCTCCGACCATTCAAACGCGTGTGTGTGGCCGCTGCGCGGGCGGCCTCGCTGGAGTCTAACGGTGAGCCGGCCAGATTGCGTTTCCCTTCCCTTCCCTTCTCTCCCTTCCCTCTTCGATCTCTTCAGGAAATGAGCAAATCCCTATTACTCTGCCTCTCTTTCACCCCCGCGGTCCCCTTCCCAGGCTCCCCCTGCTCCCCCCGCCCTCTCTGCCCTCCCGCAGGATCGGGACGCGGGGACCGGGGAGGACCGGGCGCTGGGCTGGGGGCTGCGGGCGCGGGGCTCGGGGCGCGGGGCGCGGGGCGCGGGGCGCGGGGCTCGGGGCTTCTCAAAAGAGCAGCGGGGCCGAGCCGCGCTCGCTGACGGGCTCGCGAGCCGCGCGGCCATTGGCTCCCGGCATGTTGGCGTCGCCCGCCCGCGAGGCGCTGCCAATGGGGGCGCGGGGCTCGGCGCGGCGCGGGGAGCCGGGGTGGCCGTGACGTCACGGGGGGGGTCGGCGCCGCCCGCGGCAGCGGATTACAGGCGGGCGCGCCGGGCCGCGGCCGGAGTCGCCCAGCATCGCGCCTCCGCCGCCTTCTGCTCCGGCTCCTTCTTCCCCTCCTCCCCCTCCTCCTCCTCCTGCTCCTCCTCCTCTAGTGGCCGCGACCTCAGCTGCGGTGTCTGCTTCGCAACTTTACCAGAAAGTTCAGAAACTCCGCTCCGGGGCGCAGCGCCGGGCGCGGCAGCCACCCGCGGCGCCGCGGGGGAGATCGAGGGCTCCGCGGCCACTGCACCTGCCGCGTCCGCCGCCGCCGCTGCCGCCTGGTGTCCGGCGGGGCGCACACCCGGGCGGCAGCGGCAGCGCAGCGGCATTGGGGTCCCCTCCTGCCGCCCGCGCCCTCGCCTGGGTCCCCGGCGCCGCCGCCGCCGCCGCCCCCCATGCCCGAGCTCCAGGCTCCCGCAACAAATTTTGCAACTTTGTTTTCCTTTCTCCCCACCCCTCCTTTTTGCATAAGGGGGAAAAAGTTGTGTCGAAACTGGTCCACCGATTGCCACCTCCCAATTATCCTTCCTCCCCTCCCCTCCCCACTTTTTTTTTTCCTAAGCGGCGACAACATTGTTTAGTGTTTATTTTGTTTGGCGATCGATAGCTTCCTTCGCTTTGTCGGGGCGGCTGCTGAGCGGCGGAGCGGCGCGGACCTCATGTAGACATGACAACAATGGAAGGGGCCAGCGGGTCGAGCTTTGGGATAGACACGATCTTGTCCGGTGCCAGCTCGGGCAGCCCGGGCATGATGAACGGAGATTTCCGCCCGCTCGGCGGCGGCGAGGCGGCGAGGACCGCGGATTTTAGGAGCCAGGCCACTCCGTCGCCCTGTTCCGAGATCGACACCGTGGGAACGGCGCCTTCCTCTCCCATCTCGGTCACCATGGAGCCCCCGGAGCCGCATCTGGTGGCGGACGGGCCCCCGCACCACCACCACTTGCACCACGGCCAGCCGCCGCCGCCGCCCGCCGCGGCCCCCGCGCCGAGTTTGCAGCCTTCGCCGCCGCAGCCGCCACCGCCGCCCGCGCAGCAGCTGGGCTCGGCCGCCTCCGCCCCCCGGACCGCAACCTCTTCCTTTTTAATCAAGGACATCCTGGGCGACAGCAAGCCCCTGGCGGCGTGCGCGCCCTACAGCACCAGCGTCCCCTCGCCCCACCACACCCCGAAGCCGGAGGGCCCCGCCGCGCACGAGAGCTTCAGGCCGAAGCTGGAGCAAGAGGACAGCAAAACCAAGCTGGACAAGCGGGAGGATTCCCAGAGCGATATCAAATGCCACGGTGAGTCTCGCGGCCTGGCTTGTCCAGCTCCTCCTGCGGGATCCCCCGTCTCCCCCGCGGTCTCCCCGCAGATTTCTCCGATGGGGAGCTATTCGGGCACCTTCGCTGGCGAGGTCGCCGCCGCCACAGTCCAAACGCGCGCAAGCGGGAGGGAGGATTCGGGCCGGGCCGAAGTTCTGTTTATTGTTCCATCTTTACCTCTCGACCCACACCGACATCCACCTTCTTTCGTGGTTTTACTTAATTTTAATATATCAGGAAGGGCTTGAGCGTTTTTTTCCAGCCAGAGACCTTGTGAGTGGGAATAGGGAGACTGGGAGAGAAAAACCCGCTTAGCTAGTTTGGTGTCTTGGGGTGTGATCACAACGTGGTACTTACTACTTAATGAACATTATTTCATCCCCTCCTCCCCCGTACACATCATGTTTTCTAAACACCATCACAGGAATTATCAGACTTAATAAAGGAAGAATTTCCGAGCTGATTAACAGAGCAACTTAAAAAAAAATTAGATCGTAGTTTACATAGGGTTGTTCACAAGGTAAAATGTTAGAATCAGTTTTTCAGTGTTTTCAAAACACCCTTCTTACCCGATGCCCCCAAATGAATAGCTGCATTTTAGTAAGATTTCTGGCTCTTGGTTAGTAATTGGGGGGTAGAATTTATAAAAGTGAAATTTATGGAATTGAATTTATCTAGTTTTGTAAAATCAAAAGATGGAAATTGAAATTGTCTTTCAGCTCCCTTTTTCATACAATTTCATAAGTGTTCTGGTCTTTTTGGCAAAAGACTTTTAACATAAAAGGAAAGTTTTGTTTCCTTTACTAAGTTGTTTATTATCATTACTACTACTGCTACTACTACTACTACTACTACTACTACGATTATTAATCTTTGCCATCTCTGGGAAAGATGTGTGCTGACTGTCTGGAAGATGGGATATTGGCTCCTCATTTTACTATTACAGCATTAGCATAATAGTGCCCCAAACAGATGTACAGTCTGGTCCTGCGATTTTTGCGTGCACCAACCTCCCCAGTGGGTCAATTAGAGAGATTATTGTTCTTCCTGCAGGGAAGATCAAGGAGCACAGCAAAACCGGGTACAAGCAGAGAGGGATTGACATATCGATTTCCCAGCATTTCAGGGAAAAACCAAAGTTGACAAATGGAATCCGGAAATCTCTGGGCTGTCACCGGAATGGGCTCAGTGGTTTTGAGCTCAGCTCGGGGTCTGGGCGACACATTCTTTCTGAAGCTTTAAAAGACCTGATGCAAGCGGCTGTGGAGAGTTTGGGTCCAGCGTTTCCCAAGTGCACAGGAAAAATGAAAACAAATGCCTGTGACTTTGAGTAAACAGAAAAAATGAGATGAAAAAGGTGCCCCCTCCTCAAAACACACACACACACACACACACACACACACACAGCATCAAGATCTTTTGTAAACCGTCAAATCAGTCAAAAATAATCTTAGTGAAAGATAATAAAGGAAAGGGACAAGATCTTCCCTCCCTACCTCCAGCAAGGAAACAATAACAAAAGGACCTCTTTATTGTAAAGTTTTTTTTCTTTTCTTTTAAATTTCAAAGGTGGGGAGATAAGATAACCTTTTACAACGCTTTTGGAAACTCCGTATAAGGCTCCACACTCCTTATCCAGAAATTGGTCCTCTTTTTTCCATTACTGGCTGAGGCCCAAGTCTTCGTGTAAGAAGAGTGGCAGAGAATGGTCCCCGGAGACCAGCGACTGGCTTGGGAACGTGGCAGTGTGTGCCAGAGGGACACGCCACCCTTTCCCAGTCCAGGTTACTTTACTAAACTGTGTCTGGGTTTCTATCGTAGGAACAAAGGAGGAAGGAGACCGGGAGATCACGAGTAGCCGGGAGAGTCCCCCTGTGAGAGCCAAAAAGCCTCGCAAAGCCAGGACGGCTTTCTCGGACCACCAACTCAATCAGCTGGAGCGTAGCTTTGAGCGGCAGAAGTACCTGAGCGTGCAGGACCGCATGGACCTGGCAGCTTCGCTCAACCTCACCGACACCCAGGTCAAGACCTGGTACCAGAACCGCAGGTAAGGGAGGCTGCGTGAGGGAGCAAAGCGGCTGGTCCTCCAGGTTGTGACCAGAGCACCCATCTTTCCTCCTGGCCTTGGGAGAAAAGAAGGGACTCAGAGGGCTTGGGCGAGTCCCTTGGGGGCTTTCCAGCAGGGGCAGGGATTAGCCACTCCCTCAAAGAAAGAGCTGTTGGGGAGCAGCTGGAGTTTAGAGAGTTTTGCACTGCTAAGTGTCTTGACATGTGCTACTTTCACTCTCACATCTGAGTGGTTGGAATTTCCCCCACTTTGTCCCCAAGTCAATGAGGCCCCACCTTCTCAAATTGAGACATCCGGGGCCGCTGACACTCGGGCTGGGAGAGCATGCGAGGCACACCCTTTGGGCCTGCCCCAGGCTGGTTCTCAACGTCCTCGCTTTTTCAGTCTCTCTGGCCTCAGCTTCGATGTCCTTGCCTTGGCCTGTGAGGCAGCCAGGAGAGGCGAGGTGGGCAGCAGCAGGCAGGAGAATGGGGCAGCTGGCCAAGCATCCAGCCCGAGTCTCTGTCCCCTGTACAGGCGCCTCAGAGCTAACCTGGAACCTTGCGAGGAAATTGGGAAAGGGGCCGGCAGAGCTTGCAGGCCCCGAACTGCAGAGGGAACCCAGGCAATCCGAGGCCGAGGTTCTAGTGTGTTTCCAAGCCCTGCAGTTGTCTCCCTTGTCTCGATTTTTTTTTTCTTTCCCCCTCCTTCAGTCTTGTTTATGTTTTAATCGTCCACAAGTGTGGTTGGAGTTGCCCATCCAGTTGTCATCTTTACCATAATTTTCTGTCTCATTACATACGGCTTCAGCCACCCCAATTCTGTCGGAAAACATTAGTGTCATTTGTAGCCAATTTAAAATGGGCGGCATGTTTATTAATTTGGCTGGAGCCGCTGGCTATGGACGGCCCACCAGCACCAAGCTCCTTCTTGTGGCATTTGAGCAAAAGGCCTGCTCTCTTCTTCTTCTTTCTTAATCGAGGTGCAGCGGGGGAGGGAGGAGGAGGAGAGAAGCGGATCACAGGTTTTAGTTGTTACTCTCTCTCTGAGGAGACAATATCTGGAAAAGCATTTTCCCCTCCCTGAATGGCCTGGAGGTACGGACCCCTGGGGAGAGCCCTCCCTCTAACGAATTCCGTTCCGAAACCCGGTCGCCGCCTTCCCCACCCCAAGTCCCCTGCCTGCCCGGAAGGTCCTGTCAGGTTGATGAGAGAGACGTGTCTCCACACTCCCCGGGGACCGAAAAGGGCCAGGGTCCACGGCTCAGGGGTCTCTGCGTCCCTTTGTTTACCCCGGCCAGGAGAAAGGGGGGCGGGGCGGAGAGCGGGCCTCCGGGGTTGTTGGGGAGCCTCTGGCCGGGAAAGGGAATTAGGATTAGGAGGGAGAAGGCCGCCCACAGAAACAGCGGTCTTCGCTGGCCTCCAAGAAAGTTTCAGGAGGCACCCAGACTGCGAGGGGTAGGGTGGGGGCAGCGGGAGGGCCAAGGGCCAGGGAAAGGCAGCAGAGCTTGGAGGGTTTCTTTTGCGAATGCCATGCCGCAGACACTGACGGTGCAGATGAAGCAACTGACTTGGATGCTGATCCCTCCGCGAGAAGGCGGTGTGTGTGTGTGTGTGTGTGTGTGTGTGTGTGTGTGTGTGTGTGTGTTGGGGGGAAGTGTTAGGAGGTGCGGTCCATTCTGGGCTTCCTTGGCCTCCGGTCCGGTCCCTCCCGGAGCAGAAGGCGGGAGAGGGCCTGGAGAGGCTCCGGTGCCCGGGTGCGTGCACGTCCGCTTTCTTGCAGGACAAAGTGGAAGCGGCAGACGGCGGTGGGCCTGGAGCTGCTGGCCGAGGCGGGCAACTACTCGGCGCTGCAGCGGATGTTCCCGTCGCCCTACTTCTACCACCCGAGCCTGCTGGGCGGCGTGGACAGCAGCGCGGCCGCCGCGGCCGCCGCCGCCATGTACAGCAGCATGTACCGGACTCCGCCCGCGCCGCACCCGCAGCTGCAGCGGCCGCTGGTGCCCCGCGTGCTCATCCACGGCCTGGGCCCCGGCGGCCAGCCGGCCCTCAACCCGCTGTCCAACTCCATGCCGGGCACCCCGCACCCCCGGTGAGGACGGGGAACCACGGAGGCGGCGCTGCGGGCCCTCCATCCTCTCCTCCCCTGCTCGGAAGGCTGCGCTGCCTCCGCCCGCACCAGCCCGGGCCTCCCTCCAGCCGCCCCCGGGGAGCCCGGCCAGAGAGGAGGACGCTCCGCCATGGGCGGGGCCCCCAGGAGCCAGCCCCCCCGCGCCCCTCTCCCCACCCCCAGGGATGGGGCTGGGAAGCCCCCACTGCAGCGTGACCGGCGAAAACGCTGACCCCACACAAAGTTCGACCAGTAAGTGAAAACATCAACAAAAAACGAAACCTCAAGTTCTTTTTAAAAAATGACTTTAGGGATCAGGGGGAGGGCGGGGGAGGGGCAAGGAGAGAAGCGAGAAGGGCGCGGACAGAGGACTGCACGGCAGAGAGTTGACTGCCGAAGGACAGACGGACAGAGGGCCCGAGGCAGAGGGCGTCGCCGCGGACACCCTGTCCGCCCCAGAGAAAAGAGGAGGAGAATTGAGAACTTTGCACTGATTTCTCATGACCCTTTTTTCTTTTGGAAAAGTGGCATGCTCCATAATATGGAAAAAAAATGTACATGGGAAAGACCGAGTGATAAGTGATATATCATATTTATTATATGTTGTCCAAAAAAAAAAAAAAGAGTCACTTCTATACGTTAGTAAAATATGATTTTCCTTTTCATGTCTTTTTTTGATTCGGTAAAATAAATGCTTAGACCAGAATATAGATTTTTTGTGATTGAAAAATTACAAAAAATAAAGTTTATCTTTTTTTAACAAGTGATGAAATCCAAGGGAGCTGATTTTACTACAGCAGCGTGTATTCTGATGAAGCGTCAGGTTTTATTTAGAAAAAAAAAAAGAGTCCTTCTTAGAATATTGAGAATCTGTAAAATCTGTGAAGACGTTGAGTTGACAGGTATATAAAAACAGCTCGGTGTCTCATGCCGGCCTTTCTTTTTAAAGTGGCCGATTTCAGAGCAGCCGCAGGGGCCAGTCGGTGATGGCAAGCTGCTGGCGGCTGCTAAGCGAGTGGCCAACCTTCCCAGCCCACGGCCTGCCCGGACCCCCCTGAGCCGGCCGCCCGCCCCGCCTCCTCCTCCCCCGGCTCCTCCCGGGCCGCGGGTCCCGGCGCTGGGCGGGCGCCGCTCCGCGGGCCTCGCAGCTGTCGCGAAGCCTGCGGCCCGGCCCGGCGCAGCGGGACAGCCTGCGAGCGGGAGCGGCTGGCCGCACAATTAGGACGCCCGGGGGACGCGGAGAGGCCGGGCTAACAACTCTGGAGGCGGCTTTGATCCTGGCCTTCTCCTTCCCGACGGGCATCCAGCCCCCTGCCCGCGCCCAGGCCCGGGCCCAAGTGAGTTTGCTGGGCTGGGAAGCCTGGAGAGGGAATGCAAACTCCGGGCGGGACCGGCGCGCCAGGCTTTTTGTCAGAGCCTCTGGATGAGGTGGAACCACAGGATGACAGGACCTGCCCAGAGGGCGGAGGAGTGTGTGTGAATGTATAGTAATCGCCCCCCCCGCCCCTCCCCCAGCACTCAGCTCTGTAAGAGGGGAAAACTGAATTGGGGGGCGAGGGGAGGTGCAGTTCTGGGGCTGCTTCCTTCTCCAGCCCCTAGATACTTTCTGAGGAGCCAGAGAGGAGGATCTCTGTCAAAGGGGGAAAGACACACAGCTGAAACAGCCACACCTGTCCCCCAACTTTCTTGGCTGTTTGAACCTTAGTAGAGTTAAAAAATAACATTTTAAGAAATGTGGTGTTTCGTGGGAATGTGTGTTGGGGAGGAGTGGGGGAGAAGGGAAGAAGTGAAATCCAGGAGGAAACTGCCTCGGGCCCCCAGATCAGACCTTTGCTAATTAGGGACGGGCTTGCAGATTTCTCTCTAGCTCATCAATTTGTTTTAAAAAAATGGTCTTGGTCTTGTTGGATTCTAACAAAAGGGCCTGGACTGCCCCTTTTCCTTTCTTCCCGCTGAGCTGGGGGGACGCAGGCAGCTGGCCTGGGCTGGAAGCTGGGTGCCGCTGCGGCTAGTGGGAATGCCAGCGCCTGGGCACTCAGCAGATGCTCCTTGCGCCATCTTAGCGGCTGCTGAGTTTTACAGTCCAGTTTGAATAATTACAAAATGATCTGCCTGGGCCTAAAGGACACTTCCCAAGCTTGGGGGCTAGCTAACATAGCTTCTGTCTGCACTGGCCCTAGCAGCTTGTCAGCGTTGGCACAAGGGGGACCTGGAGTCCACACATCCCAAGTTCCCTACCAAGAGTGACTTCAGGTCCAGGTGGGAAAAACACACAAAACTCCCTACAGATACAAACAAAGCTGTAGCACCCATCTGCTGCCAGCAGCTCACCAGCCATTTTGCTGAGGAGCCTGCCACTGTCCCTTCACTCTCAAGACTGAATTTGGGCTCCACAGCTGGACAAAGCACGAGGTCTCCAGAAAATAAGGTTTCTTAACCTCATATGCCACGGCTGCTAGCAGCCACTCTCTGTCCATGACAGTCCTCCCTCCCAAATTTGCTTTTCTTCAAAGTCACATTATCCCCACCATGCCTCTGGAAGTGTCAGTTCTCCTTCTAAGTTTGATTATTTCCTATTGCATCCAAGTTAGGCAAATTGGATGATGGAGGTGGGGTTGTCCTGGGAAGAAAGCTGAGTCCCAGATTCCTTTTTTTTTTTTTTCCTTCTTTCTTTCCAAAGCAGTATTACAAAGGTGACTCTCAGCAGGTGACCCTCACTTCAAATGTCCCCAAACCACTGCTTACAAGTCAGACTCAAACCCAGCCCGTTCCTGTGGAAGAGGCCCCTCAGTCCTTCCTTGCAAGCCCAACTGAGTGGGGGAGGAGTTGGCTAGGAGGGGGTGAGTGCACCCCCAGACTTTGTGAAAGGCAAGGAACCAGGTAACAGGTGAAGGCCTCTTCTCAGGAGCGTGCTGGAGTTAGTTGTGAGGGCTCAGAGGAAAGCTGTCCCTGGGCACTGGCTCCTTGTCTTTTCCCACCTTCAGTGGGTGTCTGAAGGGCACTCCACAGCTAGCCTCCATTTGGCTTGCTCCTTTGATTACGTTGGGGACGGTCTTTCTGTGGCAATCTTTGCTTGCTATGGAAATGCAGGAGCGCAAACTTCTTTCAGAGAGATGTTTAAACACCCACAAAGGCCCCTCCGATTTGCTTTGGGACCCCAGCAAACCAAGCACAAATCCATAGTGCTCGCGTGCGAAATAAGTCAACTCCCCAGCTACCCGCTCCTCGTAGCTCAAGCCAGCCATTTGCAATGAATTGCAAAGTAATGATTGCTGTTTGCCTCCACGCCTCCAGCAAATATACCTACCACCCTGTGTCAGTTTATTTTTGCTCCACCCCTTAAAAACGAACGCTCACAGGATGGCAAATTAGACAGCTGATTCCCTCTGTTGCAAATAAAACCGCTTACCCTCACACCAAGACTCTCCTCCTCCCCCCTCCTGCCCTCTGACTCCTGCTTAGGCATCCCTCCCCCAGAAGTCTGCGGGCTCCCACCTCCCCTCTTTCACCAGGCAGCTTGTGAGTAGCTTGCTTTTGCTGTATTTCTAACTTTCTAAAAATATTTGGAAAAGCTCTCCCTAGGGCTAGGGAAACTTTAGCTCCCCGTTAAGCCACGTGGTTACAAAAAAATACACTGGAAGAGAGCTGCTCGGTTTTCTAAAAACCAGGCACGGTGTGAAGCCCACATCCTTGGAAAGAGACTGACTTTATGCCGCTCGGGAGCGCGGGAGCAGGACTGAGCCCCGGAAAGAACTGCTGCTTCCTCCAGAGCTGGGGGTCCTTGGTGCGGGAAAGCTGCGTGTCCAGTGCCTTGGCGGTTGTCTAGAGATGTGTGGGAGGGAGAGCGAGTGTGGGCTTTTCCAGAGTTTACCCCGTGGATCCTGGAAAAATGCCTCCAGGTCTTTATCCAGTTCCACTTCCTTAGCCACTTCCAGCCATTCTCTCTACCCTCCCCCCCTGCCCTCCTTCCCCTGGAGTTGGTGCGCACGGCTAGGGTCAGTGCCCCTCCTTTCTTATTTCTGGCAGGCTGAGCACCCCCAGGGCTGAGTAGGGGTGCGTGTGTGGGGTTGGGGTATGTCCCTGGCTTCTTGCATTGGAAAAAACAGGCCAGCTGTCTCGGAGCGGTGAGATGACTCAGAAGGGACTTTCCCCCCCTCCCTTGCTTAAGGCTGAATTTTGAAGGTGTCTGTCAGTCTGAGCGCTGCTGGGTAGACCCTCTCTGCCAACCTGGCATTCTCAGTTTCTTTCCTCTCTGCCTTTCCGGGAATCCTCCTACTCCCTCCCTCCCCCCCAACGGCTGTTCGCTCCTAGCACCACAGACAGCTCCCGGGGCGCGCGGCGGAGCCACAGGCCCTGGGCGGGCGGGTTCCCGACTGAAGCGAAGGCGACCGCAGGGGGCGCGCCGGGTTCGGTCCGCGGTGCCCGCGGCGGGCCGTCCGCGGAGTGACTGCAGAGCGACCTCCCTGGCAGCGCTTCCTGCTGAGCCCTAAGTCCAAACAGGGGCACACCCCAAAGAACAAAACCTTCAGGTCAACACACCGATTCACAAGCCCACAGATCTCAGGGTGAGCAGTGCTCAGTGACAAGACCAACGCCAAACCGTCCCTATGGAATAAGTTCTTGGTGGAAGCCCACTGGGGCGGAGCGGGGACTCAGGTCCGCGGCTTGGGAGCCCTCGCGCCGCGCCCGGCGAGGCCGCCAGCGAGATGGAACCCCCTTTGGGAAGGGCCCTGTTCCCGTCCTCCGCCCGGCAGCCTCCGCCTCGGGGAGCCCCGGAGTAGCGGGTGGAGCCGAGTGCGGGTTGAGCGGAGGCCCCGATCGCCGCCGCAGCTCCCAGCCCGCATCCGCTCCCCGCGGGGATGGGTGTGGGACTCCCCTGCGGGAGTTCCCCCGGGAGAAGAGAACCCGCGCGAGAGGAAACCTGGTTTACGATGAAAGGGCTTTGTCACTTGGCGGAGCTGATTCACTCCCGCCCCCGCCCCCTCC